TTTTTTATTAGGGGTGTAAATCACACGCATCATGGCAATTCGATTCAGTATCGATTTCCTGACCCAACAATTCGATTATTTTCGATACACAAGAATACACCACGATGACAATGTTTCAAATTTGAAATAAATCAATGAAAGCTGTAATATGTAATAGCAAATAACAGAAGTAGAAAAGTTGTACTCCACCTATTCCTGTTAAAACCTCATTCACTGAAAAGTAATAATACCCCTGCGTTATAAATTCTGAAAGGCCTTGCATCAAAAAATACTGCACAAAATCAGTGCAATGATTACTATGCAATACCTCGGCTCCAGACGTCCCCGCCCCCTCCTCAGATACTCCGCTGCACCTCTCCAAAATTGTAGCTGACCGCAAACAGTGCCGCAGACAGTAGGCCGGCTTGTTTTGTTTTTATGACCAAAATTGCGGAAAACAACTCGTGAAGTTCCAAGCCAAGGAGCCCCAAACTGATGGGGAGATGGAGCGGGGACCCCCTAATTTTATATTTATTGATGAAATTGTGTTATATCAAACTAGTCCTATAGTCACGCTATTACAGATGGAGAAATGTAGCGGAAGTAATTTTACCCTGGGATTATTACAGTATTCCTAATTGGGATTCCTGGTTGATGGGACAGGTGTTGTGAATGAAACTGTGCCCAGCTCGAAAGAGTGTGTGTCGCTGAATGTGTGCATTGATGACCGAAAGACATCTTCTGCCTCCATTGATCTATTTACTACAGTGTGTTGAACTCATTTTAATTTATACTTAAAGACATTTCAATTAGTTGAAAAAATTGCAGGGAAGAATATGTATATAAATATACAAAAGTCTAATCAAGCAAAACTTTCTCGACCCCCATGCAGTACCTCCGTGGACCCCCCAGGGGTCGCGGACCCCCTGTTTAAGACCTCTGATACAGATAATAAAAAATAAAATAATAAAAATAATCATTAGAATAAAAAATCCCTTTATTGTCCCACAATGGGAAAATTCTGGTGTGTACAGCAGCAAAAAAGATAATAGAAAAAACTGTCAAAAAATGTAAATTATATATACACACACACACATTTTTTTTTTTTTTTATGTATCTATTGTCAAACAGAGTATTAACCCTCACAAGTCATGCTGAGTAATTTGTTGTCAAGCGCCATTCTCTGCTCTGAGCTGGATGGAAGGCACTCAGACCTATTTAAAGGGACAGCTCCGCTTCACTAACTAAACCAAGTTTTTTTTTTTTTTTTGTCGAACACGTAGCTGAAGAGAAGCATGTATGATCATAATGAAGCTGACCGTTTCATCTGAAAGGGTGTATGCCCATATAAATATCATGCATAAACCCCAAAGCTCCGACTCGCAGCTGGTAAAACCCAGCCAGCCCTTTCCAGCTGATTCCACCTCCTCCGTCGACCTGAATCCTCGCACGTCTCCAAGTTGGTTTGACACCTCCGACGTTCATTCCCTTGGTTATAAGCACATAAACTCTAGCCAAACTAAGTGTAACCCAAGACGGGACCAAAGCCCCGCCACCAGCTGAGGAGCATTAACCGGGGTCAGGAACCGTCTAGGCGGGGGTAGCTGCTACCGGTTAGCCGCGGAAGGTTGTGCCTACCTCGGTTGGGATGCCATGGTGCAGTGCGCCTCTCGCAGCGACCAAAGTTCGTTGTCATTCGTTGTTTCTTCCTGGGGGTCCTCACCGAGTGGAGGTCTCCACACTTGGTCACATTGTTTACCGGTAAACTTAATATAATTGTTTCAACTGCTTAGAGTTTTTATTTATTTTGTAGTTGTCAGCTAAGTGAGCGTATTTTGGGTTCAGTCCAGCCCGTCTGCCTATCGGACTGTTCCACCCTACCCAGCCACCCGGGGACCAGCCTCGGGTTTTATACACTAATTCCACCGAGAGACGTTTAAAAGCAGGAGTTTTACCGATTTTTGTTCTTTAAAGATACAAAAAAATACAATTAATAACAATAACAGCGGCGTTTTATCGTGGCTTTGTTAGGAATTATTTTGACACATTCTCTGCAGCTCATGTAAAGTTTTAGAAATCACCCCTACATGACTGAACATGGTACTGCCATCTGGGTGTATTGTGTTGAACCTACTGGACTGTCAGTTCAAAACAACAGTTTTATGTGAGAGTAAAACTAATAATAAAGAAAAACAAAGAAAGATAAGAAACCCCAACATTGAAACAATCTACAGCTATATTCCGAGAGACAATAGAAATAAGAAACATACCTGATAGATCCGATTGTTAAAGACTTGAAAAGATCAATCAACAGCTTTTTAAAAAGAAATCTATGTAGGATTTCCAAAAAGTTTTGCTTAAGTGTCACATCCTGCATTTTTTCACAACATGTCACATTAAAACCAGAAGCTTTATTTTATTTTATTGGAATTTATAGCGGCAGTCCGACACAAAACAGTGTGCAGTAAGTACATGGTTATATGGCCACATTTTTTAACAACAACAACAAAAAAAAGGATCTAACATGAGTGGATGTTTTTGCATGGATTTCATCCTATCCCCTCCTTTTCCACTGTTTCCTCATCATAACCTTTAATCAGACAAGCAAATAAGAAAAAAGGCACAAAAAACAAAAGAAAAACAACAAACAAACAACACAAAAACAACCTACAACTATTTAATTTGAAAAGTACCCTTAACAGGTCACACAATGCCCAGCAGGTGGCACCCTTTCCTTGCATTGGTTGAAATACAACATAGCAGAATACAATAAAGTAAAGGCTAGTGTGCTTTCCATAATATGCTGAATTATATTAAACTGTCAGGGAGAAATTGGCAATTAATAGGGCAGACTTCCTCAATATACAACTATGACACAATTGAAGAAAGCTATGCATTTTTTTTTTTTTGCATTTCTAAAAACACAAAATCTGCTCCAGCCTTGTAATTTTTGCAAAAAAAAAAAAAAAAAAAAAAAAACTCAATAAAACCAGATATTTATTTGAAGAGGGAAATAATTGCTTGCACAGCAACAGAACCCTGAATATTCAAAAGAGTCATGGAGTCATGCTTTAGAGTTTTACATTCTTTAAGTCAATAAAAAAAAAAGTGCACAACGTGTATATGTTGTGTAGGAACATGTCTAATAGAAGCAGCAGATTCTCTCTTCACTTCAATGCTTAGATGCGGTCATCGACTTTCAAAAAAGAAACAAAACAACACCAGGCGCATTATAAGAGCGATAAGATTACTTTCAAATGATTGCATATTCATAGCAGCAAACAGGCTTGACATGAAAATGATGATGTGAAAATGGTGATGTATTTACTCCTGGAAGGATTAAAAAGTAAACACCTGATTGTTTTGACTGTTGGCAGATAAATAACTTCATGCAGCTTACTTAATTGGATTTTTTTTTAACACATTAAAGTCTTTTTTTTAAATTACATCATCAATAATAATTTGTATTGAGTTTAATCTTTTTTTTCTTGACGCAACAGCATTCAAGGTTGAAAAATATTGTTTATTATTTAAAAAATAGCTTTCAAAACACACATTTTTTTTATAAAGGTAAAAGGCTTGCGCAGTGCTTCATTTTCAGGTAGAGGTATTGAGTATTTAAGATAAATCACATTTTAATTGGCATATAAATGTGAGCATTGTATTATTTTTTTGTTTTTATTCATAGCTAATTATTATGCCTTGCATGTAAAGCGACAAGCATGCATCTCATTCCATTAATTTCTTTATAACAATAAGTTTTTACAAAGAATGTTTTCATTATATCATTATATACATTTATATAAAGTTTTTCAAAAGCCAAATCTGGATTAAAAGTAGGGCTAAAGTGACTTTTGTGGATGTGTATGGCATCGAGCTCTGCGTGACTTTCTGGACCAGACCACCTAGTTTTGGTCTCCTGATTACAGACACAATCTGAGCTGAACACAACCACTTGTTTAAGCAGACAACCTTTCTTCACTAAGCTGACCATTAATGTTCTTAGTGGTCATCCTAGAACTATCTGCAGTTATTTAAATCAGTATCTCTGGCTTAATCATTAGTAGCATTGACCTGAGGCTTGTCTTGATAATCTACAGCAATATATTCTATTTACAAAATAAAGTTGGCTATATTGTATTGAACTATTATTTCTCCTTAATACTTTTTTAATGTGCTGATTATATATTTACAGGCTGTTTGCACAGTTCATTTGAAATAAGAACTTTGACCAAAGAAACATTCCTATTAAAGTACCCTTTTCCTCTTATTATTTTCCTATCCGAGATCTTGTTGACTGGGCTGGTTTACATTTCTCTGCCAAAATGTAATTAGAAACGGAGGACAGTTAAGAAACCTGTCTCCCAGTTCGCTTTCTTGTGTAAAAACTTGCACGCAGAACAACTTCTCTGTGCCTGGCGTGGTGAAGTGTGGCGTTACTTCGTAAATAAGTCCACAGCTCTCTGCTATTGCTGTAGGGCTGTTGTTGTTGTCCAGCGTTATGGGATTGGGACCAGTGGTTCTGACGTCCAACTGTTCATTTCCCTCTGCTGATACGTCCACAGGCACCACCACATACGCGTTCTTGAAGCTATCTCCTGTGAGGCACTTCAACGTGGTAGACCAGCAGTATTCCCCGGGGTCTCCTGTTCATAAAAATCAATTGATAAATGACTTAAAATGACTCGGATTAGATGTGAAGGATGTAAATATTACCATTTGATGCTGGCAGCTAAAAAAAATATTTTTTTTATGGTAATTGTAAAAATGTCTCTAAAAAATCACTTAGTTTATTTAAAAAAAAAAAACAAGCATAAAGCTCATGACAGATTTTAGCTGCAAAGATAATAAAATACATATTTATACAGACATGATCACTTACTGTTGTATTTATCAGAGCAATCATATCCAATCACCTACATAATAACCTACATTGTTGAGGTTTAAAGGTTCTACATATTCTTAACTATGCATTTTTATAATTTCTTTATCATATGGTTTAAAGTAAGGAAAACTAAATAATTGGCATCTTTAAATAATTGTATGAATGTGAACTGAAACTAGATTTCTTGCATATAATAAAAAAGTTTCTATACATTAGTTAGTGATGTATCAAAGGGAGTTTCTGTGTCCAACTCTGCCAAAGTCTCTTTGTTTCTTACCTTCTGTGGAGTCTGTCATCCGTATGTTGTGGTTGTCCTGAAGTTGCAGTTTTTTAGCATATGTCATTGAACTGCACGCTATCAAACAGTCCGTTGGTAGTTTCATAGAGCTGGGCTTCGGCATCAGCAGCGTTTCTTTCTCTGAGCACTTGACTGCCCCAGTACCCAGCAAAAGATGGGACATCAAGCCGAAGGACACCCAAATGCTGAAATACCCCATCATTCTATCCGCTGATGATCTTAAGAGACTAAAGCCGGCAGCTCTAAGCTGTAGGCCCAGGTCCGAAAGGACTTTATCACTCAGAAACTGTGCACAGACGCCTGCAGCATGAGTGAAAACATCAGTAGCCAGTCAAAAAGACTGCAGAGTATCAAAGTTCCTCTGAGCAGCACCTGGTCTTTCGAAACACACAGCCAACATTTCTTCAGCTCAGATTTCCCTCCCTCTTGGCTTCATTTCATCAATTTCTGCTTGTCAAGCAGGCATAAAGGACTAGCTTTAGAAAGAGCTTCATAACATCAATCCTTCACTTTTAAGGATATCAAGGCATTAAACTGACGGAATAAACAAACAAAGCATTTGAGTAAGTTTTTTATTCAAATAATTAAAAGCAAGAAATCACAGAATCATTACAAATGATTAGAAAAGCAAAGGAGTGTCCTAAAAATTGGGTCTAAAAGTGTTTTTTTTAACTGAATAGTTGCACACGGTGTAAATAAAACTCAAAAACTTAAACTGTGAGGTAACTTTGTGACGTTAATACAAGAATGACATAAAAGTACTGAAAAAAATGAGAATTGTCACCACTAATAAATCATATTAATTTACATAGATAAAAACAACAATAAAACAATAAAAAAGCACTGAATGTATATTGAATATTGAGAGAAGTATTTTTTAGCAGTAGATCTACAGCTAAAAAAAAACAACAGGGAAATAACTGTTTCAAATTTAAAGTTTGAATAATTAAAACATGAAAAAGAATTCTTACATAGGAAAAATTCATAAGATATATACACTGCAAAAACGATCTTAAAACGAGTAAAAATTCAAATAAACGTATTTACCCTTAATTTGAGTTGGTAGATACAATGATCTGCCAATGGAATTAGTATGTTTAACCTCAAAATAAGAGAATTAGATGCAGTTGCAGCTGCAGTTTTTTTTTTCTTATTTAAAATGTAAATTGTATTTTTAACTTACCTGCTTAATTCAAGAAAAATGCACTTAATTTAAGAAAAATTGACTTACTTAGATTTAATTTTTTTGCAGTGTATACATATAAATGATCATCTAAGAGTTTAGCACATTTGAATTAAAGTCTCTTTGATAAACATAGAGGCATTTGTTTGTTAGAAAAGACTGGACATTTCACATTACCAGTGGAGAGTCGGTCTTATTTGTTGTCAGGTTCAAATTAAACTGACACCAGGTTTTAATTGCAGGGTGTTTTTCTGTAAACATTCTGAATGTTCCATCACTGCACTTTAATTATTCTAAAAACACAAATGCTGTTTCCTTTAAAAGGTGGAATGCCCAAAGGTTGTATGCCAAGTAATGACTTGGAATAAAAAATTGTAAGAGTGTTTTTATTTATTCCCTAATCTTTGTTGATTTAGTCTTTAACTGATGAAACTTTACATTTTTGGTACTTTTATATGTTCTTACTTTGTACTGTTTTTATGAATACAGTAATTTTACAGCTTTGAGTAAAAAAGAAGACTATAATTATTATTATTTCATGAGGTTTAAAGTTTGATTACTTTTATAAACATTCTAGAGATTCCAAACCAAGCGTTCACTTTAAATCAATATAAGGCAATGTAAAATATACACACTTATTTTCGACCCTGGATTCCCTGCTGAGAACAAATTGTAATCTTTCCCATAGGAGGACATAGTGGCCTCACTATTCAGTGAAGAAAAAAAAAAACTGGCGTGTGGAGTATTTGGCATAGCCCTCTCTCACATTTTTGAAAGGAACACTGAGTAACTGTTAGCAGCTATAAATAAATCAACTGTCCTCGAGGGGATCATTCATGTACATGTCATCGGAACCTTTCTATGGTCTTTTCCTGCTGAATTAGATTGAAAATCAAAGCTTATAAAAATACAATATCTTTTTTTCATGTCTTTGATGCTGATTTTTTGTTAAAACAGCACATTTATGTAGTGGTCATGGGCAGAAACATATTTTTTATTACTTGCAGGCTCAAGAAATCTGTTTTCAGTACAAGGGAGCAGCAGGAATTCAAAACCGAGACTTTGCTTTGGTTCCCACGATTACTGCTGAGTACACTAAATAACAATTAAAGATAGAGAAACAGACAGCAATACAGGTGGGCGATCTGTGTACAAAGATGTTTTGGGATCTTATGCCAAAGACTGCAGGACATACCCCAGTCTATTCTACACTGGGCTGCTGGGCGTTCCCAGGTCCGCAGCCACAGCTTCTTGTCAGCATCACCGGAGAGATGACAATGGCGCCGGCTTCATCCATGTAGACCAGATTAAGGTTTTCTTGCAAGGTGGGCTGGCAACATGGCAAATGGCCCTAAATGCACAAACAGATCAAAAGTCAGTCAATCCTCTTATATACAAACTTTGTTGCTTCGTAAAAAGTTGCAATACTTAAGGTGTGCTAGAATAAAAACAAGAAAACAACAAAAGATAGCCAGAGTTTACAAATAGGGTGTGACAAGGAATACTTAAATCAATACATCTGAACTGGCATTCAATGATATATTTATACATGCATCGCATTTATTTTTTTCTAGAAGTTGAGCAAACATTTCGGGTCGATAGTTTGTCAGGATGCATACCTGTGTGCTGGCATCCTGGACACTGGAGGAGGAGGAGGGACATTGCATGGTGCCATCTGCTGGGTTGCACAGAGCACACTGAACAATGTTCAGGCTCAAAGGATGGATTACCCAGCTGTCCCAGCCCAGGTCTAAAAGGTACAAAATGTGAAATCAGATCACAGAAAAAAACAGACTGTTTCTGTGTATACATTTTTACTGATTGTTCAATACCTTTCATGAAGATCTCTGAGGCTACAGAGCAACATCTCATTCCTGTGCTGTTTCCACTGTCCTGCGGAACAGGGTAATCAGCAGCTGCTGAAGAAAGAGGGAGATTGTCAGCTTAAGTGACATAACGCACGGTTGGTTCCAAACATCCAGACCTGGCCTTATGGATTCCACTTACCTGCAATCTTCCTGACACTTTGAGGGATAGTGGTGAATGTTCTCAGCCATTGCTCACGGACGCTATCTATTGTACCAGCCGGCACCTGTGGCTCAGTCTGCATGTTGAGAGCCCTCAGCAGACCCTTTCTGATGGACTGCAATGACTCATCCTGGCACCTGAATATTACAATCATCACAATTTATATTCTTACATACATTTTTATTTAAAATGTATGTATACACAGCAGTTTAAACTAGAATTTGTAATGTAATAAGCTAACATTGTTATGCCAATGTCATAAATCTGAGAGGGAGCTGAGGAATTTTGTGATAAAAGGTGGACACTTGAAGGGAAAGATTTAGAACAAATGTTGTAAAATAACCCTGGGACACAGATAAATTACAATTCAACCATATTCCATAATGGTAAACCTTTACAAAATATTTCATGTATAGAAATAAACACAACATCTTACACAACATCACAACAACTTACTGGATGACACTGACCTTTGATGGGAAAACTGAGATTTAGCTGAAGTTGCAGGGTCCTCACTGAGCGGATGCAGGACGAATGCAATCACCACTGAAGACCCAAGACACATCATCATACTTATGATTGCAAAATACATAGCGGTGGAACAGTGTGGCCAAGGCAGGTTCCAAGACAACAAAGATGAATGTTCTTCACGTACTTCTTCTGTGGTACTGTTAGTTGGGGCCTGGGAACCTGAGTTTTTATCTTCTTTCACCCCAGTGTGGCCTTGAGATACTAACACAGTTGTCTTGCCCCCCTGCTCTGTGTGAAAAAGTGCTAGGAGGATGATCCAGCAGGGGAAGACCAATAGACAGACCCAAAAGAAACATTTTGGAATGAAAGGTGGGAAGGAGACTAAATTAGCAAAGCCACACATGCTGCAATATGTGCTTAAAAGTACATCACAGGACAGAGCTTAGACTGTTCCAGTTTTTTTTTTTTTTTTTTTTTTATGTAGTTCTGGAGTTATTTTGCCAAATGTAGAGTGTAATAACAATCCCTTAAAAAGTATTCACACCCTTCATCACCTTTTTTTTAAGTTACAACCATACAGTTCAATGCATTTCACTTCGAGTTTATATTATGTCCCAACAGAAAGGAGCACATACTGCCAAGTGAAAGAAAACAGATTAATCCACTCATTTGTCCATCTGTCAACAGAAAAAAATGCTGACCTCTATCTGACTCTTAAGTCATTTAGTGTTTGCAGCAAGAGGCTGCATATCAGCTATAAGTTTGTGAAGAGCGTGATCTGTACTGCCATCATCTACTGGGGTTACAGCATCAGAGTGAATTATATAAAAAAGCTCAACAAGCTGATAAAGAGGCCAGCACTGATCAGAGAACTCCTCTAAAAAATATTTCACAAAGAAGAATTCTTCACAATGGTTAAACAGCAATACAGATCAATAGAGTGTCTTCAGTCAGAGGCTTTTTCAGTTCCGGTGCAAGACAGAACTCTATAGGAGATCCTTCTTGCATATTGCTTTAAACCTATGAGTTCCAATAACAGTTAATTTCCTATTTGGAATGAATAAAACATGTTTGAATGAGGTTAAATTTAATTAAATTCTAGTTGACCTTACTTTTGAATTGAATAAAATAATGTCAAATAGTCAAATTGAGTCAAATAGACTTTACCTGACTTGACTTGAATTGAACCGAGCCTTTATTAAATAAAATAAAATAAAGTAACATTGAATTAAATTAAATGCTCAGCGGAGCAGTGGGTAGCACTGCTGCCAGAAGCCTCTGGGTTCGATTTCCGGATCAAATGGATACCAGAACCCCTCGTGACCCCAGCTGGGATAAAGCTTGACAGAAGATTAAATTAAATTGAACTGAATCGAATTGAAGTGAACCACACCTTTATTAATATAGATATTCTCATTGAGATCATCTAATTTTCAGAAAAGTCATTTGTTAATAAAATTAAATAAAAAAATATATTATCTAATTTTACCAAAATATTAATATGGTTATTTAAAACCTCTGACTCAGTTAAATAAGCCATTAAAATATGAGTTAGAAAGTTATATTTCCTGGCTTAACATAACGAGTATCCTCCTCTGATAAAGATAGCAGTGGTGTTATTCCCTTGCAGTTGTTTATCAAGGCCACGATAGAAATGTAACAAACAAATGTGGAAAAAATGCTGCAGGTGATGTTGCAATCTCGGTGCCAGAGGGTTGGAAAAAAAAAAAACTTCACAGAGTTAAGCGCTACACTACACACTCGTTCTTTGTCCTTTGGTGCCCTCAAACAAGATCCTTTGCCAAAAATGGAACTGAAGCAAAAACTTTCTCATGAGGCCTAAAACGGGGTATCTGATCAGGTGCACTGGATATCAAACCATATTTCATCCAGAGAGCAAGAGGAATGTCTGCTACAAGCAGAAACAAGACTTGTGGTTTTCTTTGTGTTTAATATTGCATGTGAGATGGACCTGCAGAAAGAATTCATGACAGCATTTTGCACTGCAGTATCTCACGGAAGGGTTTATACCCTGTAAAAGTTGTAAAGGTTTGGTTACAACCATTAACGTTTATTTATTTATTTATTTATTTATTTTTTTATTTATTTATTTATTTAAACTACTGATATGAGGTTGTAAATAATTTTAAAGTGAAATGAAAATCTCGTTTAATTTTATGTTTGTTTGCTAGAAACTAAAACATAAAGAGTGC